AATAAAGTCTTAATACTTTCCTTAAAACAACTTGAAATATGATTTCAAGAGTTGCTTCTATCCTTTCCCTATTTTTACAAACCTTTTCACTCAAAAATTTGACTTTTAATGATCAAGAAAAGTCAAGTAACACCTTTGATATCAATGGCAAGAAAGTTCTTAAAGAAAGAAGAACTGATTATAAAGTACCTAAAGGTCTTTCTAATCTTTGAAGCGAGAGGCTTACAGAGATTTTCTGCATTAAAAAGGCTTAGTTTCTTTCTTTTTGACTATCTTGACCCTCTTAGAGCTCACATTTTCATAGTTTTCTGAAAAATTTTATCTATATTAATTTGACTCTGAATTTTAGATAGCACAAATCCTCACCAAAGGTAATTGGCTAACATGAAACATGTCAGTTTTTGAAATGAAAACAAGCTGCTATTGATCACACTTATATGTTTCAATATATTATTGATAATGTAAAAAAGAAAGTTCTAAAAAAAGTGTCATTTCAATCTTATACAGTATGTTCAAACTCCAGGAAACAATTATAATACTGAAAGATAGGTAATGAATAAAAAAAGAAGATTCAACTTCCATCACTCATTAAGTTCCTCAGATAGTAAAAAGGCTTTCTTAGACAAAAGCTGATATCTTCAAGTTTCTATTTCAATTAAACAAAGTTCTTGAAAAGATTTTTTTATCCTAGTTAGATAAATTCTTTTATAATATGGCATTGACTTCAGTAACATTAAGTAAATCCATATATTGGCAAAAGGATAAGTTCTTCAAATATTCTTTTTAAAGTTACTTTCAGGAATGATTAAGTTCCTCAAATATCATAAAGCTTAAAAAATATTCACCTCTGTGTTAACTTTAGCAATTCATTATTTTTTAGGATAATTGATAGTAACAAACTATTGGCAATGATCCTGGTTGACTTAAAGGCTAATGCCAAACCATTAGGAGAGCATAATATTATCTCCAAAATCTGACTTAGATTATCTAGTTTAAACTTAGTTTTGTTTAGTTCAAACTAGCTTAGTAAATTTCTTATATTTTTTAAGTAGTATAGTCTTTTAATATACAATAACAAGTTAGTCATTTTGTGAAAGTCTATAAATATTATAGTATCTTTCAATATTTCAATAAAGACATGCTATTGTAGCATGATTGCGGGTTACAAAAAAAAAAAAAAAGTACAGTATTTTTTTTTATTTACTTATATTATATTATTATTATATATATTTATTAAAATATTAAGTAAATATTTAATAAATTATAAATTATAACTTTTTTTCACTAATCCTTTAATTATATATAAAAAAATGTTTGTAAGAAGTTTTATATTTCTTGATTAATAAAATTTTTATACTTTTATTAAAATAATATAAAACTTATTTTTAAGAGTTACTACTATTCTTCTTTATTTGTTTATAAATTTCTTTAAATAAAACTTGAATATTTGATAGTTTAAACAAATTCCAGTATATACTTTTTCTATTAAAAACAAGAAAGTTCTAGAAAGTAAAAAAATCAATTTATAAAATATTATTTTTTAAGGCTAGAAGTAACTTGAAGATAGAAATTTTCTAGACAAAAAAGATTTATTATTTATCTTTAATATACTGTTTTTTATTCTCTTAATATTTATTTTTTATTATAATTTTTTTGTTTGTTTCAAATTAATTTCAAATTTATTATAATATAATATAAACTGATTTTTATTTAATTAATATAAAACATGTTAATAATAAAATATAAATAAACTTCTTTGATTATATTTATATATTTTAATAATATCATTAATAAAAAAAAGAGATATTATAAATATGAACTTCTTTATTTCTTCAAATAAAATATAAATAAAATCAAAAGATTATGAATTATTAAAATAAATATTAAATTCTTTAGATAATGAAAAAATAATTATTTGATCAAGTTAAAACTTTTAACTTTTTATTAATTTAATTAAACAAAATATATAACGTTGGCTATTTTTTATTCTATTAAATTATAAGATCAAAAAGTAAAAAATTGTGTATTACTATTTTTCTCTAAAATTAAAAAAGCATTTTTCAAATATTGTATAATAATATTATATATAATAAACAAGAATTTTCACAATTATTACTGAGATTCTTTTATTATTGTAAAGCAAAAAAATTATTAAAAAATCCAATTTTTTGAGCAATAGAAGATATTTATTAGTAAAATTTCTTTAATTGAATATAATTGCTAGAAGATATTAGAAGTTATATAATATAATTAAAAAATTACATTTGAACTTAAAATCTATTGTAACTTATTATTTTTTATATAAATAGATACAAAATCAATACTGAAAGAAAGAAAGCATTAAGTAGAATATTGAATCTGAGTAAGTAATAACTATTTTAAACAATTATAAAAAAATAATCAAAATTATAAATAAATAAATTTTTCAAACAATTAGAAAGAAAAAAGATATTTTAAAAAAATTGGATCCAAATAAAAAAAATTTTTTAATAGAAATCTTTTGAAGAATATGAAATATTTTTTTCTTTTTATGTAAAGTATATTGTATATTTTTAGATATCTTTATTTCTTTTATTTTTCTCTTTTTCTATTGTAATTTTTTGAAATCAGTTTTTTAAAAGATAATAGATAATAATAACTTGTTATAATAATATACAAATTAGAAAAATATTCACACAAAATTTATTATAAATAAAAAATATTATTTTCAAAATTATATTTAGAGATTGAAACTTTTTTAAAAACAAAAAGCTATTGATGGATAAATTAATATGAGATTTAGTTTAACTATAATATAATTGCTTTATATATTTTTATTGATTTTTTTAATAATTAATAAATACATAATATTGATTTAATCATAGATAAAAAAAAAAAAAATCTAATAAATTATAAACTTTTATATGATAATTAATTTATTTTTATATATTATTACTTAAAGAGTTACATTATTTAAAATATAAAAAATTTATTAAACTAATTTTACTTAAACAAAATTAAGTTTCAATTAGATATTTTAAGTCAAATTTAAAATATTTATTAAGAAAAAATTAATAAATATAACAAGAATTTTTTAAAAAATTATTTTAAAAATTTGAATTAAAATTAAAGTGTAAAATCAAAAGAAAGTAAAATATTATTTTTTAAATTTATATTTAAAAATAATTCAAACTAGTTCAATATACTTTTTATATCTTTAAATAATTTAGTTTTTTAACTGATAATATATAAATAAAAGTTGATTATCAATATAATATGATTTTGTATTTTTATTTTAAATAAAAATTGATATAAATATTAGTTTATTATTGTTTAATAAAGTATATATAATTAATCTAAGAGAGTAAAAATTATACTGAAAAAATATAATAAATACAGTAATTGAAAACTTTGATATCAAAGTTTTATAAAAATTTTAAAAATGATAATGTTCAAATATTTAAATAGAATACAGTATCTGTTATATACTGTAATTGTTATATAATAACTTAAAAAAACGCTTTAAAGATCTGTCTTCAGAAGAAACTATTCATATGGCGCAATGCTGAAATTTCTATAAAAATATGGAGATAAGGAATGTTACGACATTATTTGTTTCGCCGACTTTAAAATATGGTATGGAAGCAACTTTTTATTCGGGTCTAGTACCGATTAAAAAAAAAAAGAGCTCATTGACCTATATTTATTTGGAAATGATCGATTCCTTGAATGGGTTCTATTATAATGTCGATTGTATTTTATGTTTCGACATCACTTTAAATGACTCCTTTAATGCCGAAATGAAAAAAAAAATAAAATTTTTTTTTCGCGATTTAACTAACCACATGCCTGGATTTGCTTAAAAGACCAAGTAATTGAGTATATACGTTGTGTCCTTGGCAAAAACTTGAGGTTTTAGGTGTTTGAATGCTTCTCTATAGAGAAATAATCAGTCAAGGAGACAACAAGGTTTCAAAAAGAAAACAAAAAACAAGGGTACAATCTCATCAGAATTTCGTATTTTTCTGATCTTTGTTCTATCGCACTTATGCGCTCGGTATTCTGAGGCACGTGTTTAAAGATTAGTTATCGAGTATGTTGTTTGGTTCTTTATATGTTGGGTAGCATCTAATAGAGTAGACGACACATGATCTCCTGTTTTATCAAGATCTACGCGATTCATTAACTAATGCTAAACATTACTTGCATGTGGTTACTCAAATTTCTATTATAATGATATTATTATTATTATAAAATCTCCGAACGAGCTAATAAAAAACGGTTCCATAAATTGATTGATCATACCTTTTCCGAGCATTGACGTCAGTTCTGGGTTTTTTAAAGCACTCAACTGAATACTTTTTAGCCACCTTTCACGGTGGGTCCGGTTATCTTTAGAGCCTTTTATCGAAGCTCTCCTTTTCAGCTTCACCCCCAAAACTGCCGTATTTACATATCTCTATTATTATATTATTATTATTATCAATAAAAAAAAAAAAAAAACCTATTTTTTATACTATGTTCAGGACCTAGGATTCTTATAAGACAAGCACATATACAGTATATCAATTTTAATATATTCGCTTTTACAAACCTACGCTTCGTTTTTTTTTCTTTCTTTTTTTTTTTCTTTAAAAAAAAAAAATTCTTTTTGTATCGATAGTTGGCAAAATCGTTTTATAAATATATATATATTTTTTTTTACTTTCGACGACATAAAAGAAAAAAATTTTTTTTGTAAGGACGCCGGACGACTCCTTCCCTTTTTCATCTTGACGACTTTAACTTTGTCGGAATACATAAATCCTTGGTGAAACCGGTGTTCGTTTATTACTTCACTTTGTTACAAAGTCGACCAGTTTCCTTTATATATTCTTTAGTCCTTCTTTCTTTTCTTAGCTAGAGTACATCAAATTGTAAGTATTATATGAAGAGAGTGAAAAAAAATTAATAAGGTGATTTAATCTATTTAATAATTTGTTCAATACTTTTTTTTTTTTTTTTAAGCAATAACGATTAAAATGACGGAAACCCTTCGCATGAATCCGCAACATATGTATGACAAACCTAACGAGTATGTTGCGAAGGACAGCGGATTCCAAGAAATGAAGAGTCAAATCGATGCTACAACTATATCACTTGCAGATAGAAAGCTGACACTCGTTGACGAAAACGAGAAGGACAACAAACATAATAAAAATGAAGCTGGTCTTCTAGATCCGTGGAATTCTAGCGTTAAAGAACAAGATTTTGAAAACTCCATAAAATTCGATAAAGAACCTAACTTAAAGAATCACGATATGACAGGTGATGAACCTGAAAAAAAGAAAGTTGACCTGTTCAATTCGCAAACTTCTGACCTATTGTTGCTTGACCCCCTTGGAGATGAAAAGTTGATAATAAATGATGCGTCTTTATCCGAAGAAGAAAAAAGGTCAAAGATAAACAGCATATTTTCGCGAGCAGCAAGCAACGGAAATGTAGAGAAAGTTACAAGAATGTTAGAGACGGCAAGGGAATATATTGACATTGATTCCCAAGATGAGGAAGGAACCACTCCTTTGATTTATGCTGCATGCTTTGGCCATGAATCTGTCGCTTATACTTTGCTGGAAGCCGGAGCGAAAGTGGATGCCAAAGATAGATGTAAGTTTTTATTAAATTATTCATATAGATACACCTGGAGATAAGATTAATTATCATCGGATATTTCTTAATGTGTATAAAAATGACAGAGCCTTTCTAATGAAAAATTGAGATGTAACGTAAATTTCTAATAAGTTTAATAATGTACTTCTTTAATTTAAGTCGGTTGGACTCCATTGATGTGGGCAACCAACAACAATCATGATCCAACGGTTCGGCTGTTTTTGGATCGTGGTGCCGATGCTGGTGCTAAGTCGGTGAAAGGTAGAACTGTGTTTGATTTTATCCCGTCCGAAAATCCAAAAATTGCCGAAATTTTCATACAAAATCCTCAGCGCGATAGCTGGTCAAGTGTTGGCAGCATTGGCCGTTGGTCACTCTGTAGTGAGGCAGAACAAAAACTAGTAGAAAAGCTTGCAGAAGCTGAAATGGAAAAAAGAATGTTGGCAGAGAGTGCATTGAATTTGGATGTAGATCTAGCAAGTTTAGGGTTTGAAGAATCCGAAGTAAGTATTAATAAGAACTATGTTAATCGTATGTTATCTATTTCATCTTTAAACCCAAATTATTTATTTTCTAGCCTGAAGAAGAAGAAGAAGGACCTCCCGAGTTTTTGTGGAACACCTGTTTGCCAGACCAAATGTTTGTGTTCTCCTTCGAAGACATACCACACATTCTCAAAACCGTTGTCACGAATATGCAGCCTATTCGAAATAAAAGTCAAAAGCCTGTCCCTGCAAATGTATTATTTTTAAGTGCAAGGTTTGCCCATTACTTCAGCAGCCCCGAGTTATTAGAATCACTTTTATTTGACGTGATTAATGCAATAGATCATGCAGTTAAGGTACGAAATTCAATTAATGCTATGTACATATTGGCTATAAGCAAACCCACGCAAATAAAATTTTTTCTTCGTATATTCAGACTCGCCCCGATGATATGACACTTTTGGCATTCTGGATTTCAAACTGCACATTATTATTATATTATCTGAAAAAGGATACGGGTCTCGCTGTCGCCACAGTGGAATATCAATTAAGAATCTCGGAGCAACTTCATGAAATATACGTGCTCTTAATAAAAGACGCACAAAAAAGAATCGAAAAGATTTTAGAAGCTTCGATGTTGGAATACGATAATATTCCCGGAATGGACGATGTTCGATTTGAAGGAGAGTGGCAATTTATTAGAACTTTTATACGAAGATCAAAAAGTCCACCACAAACAGGCTACAATACACCTACGAAAAATCCAGGCTCTAACTTAAGGAGAAGTTCTTCGACATCAATGGTTCCACCATTTCGTTCACCTTCGTCCCCACGGCAAAGAAGTGCTCCATCGCCTCGAAATATCACCTCGCTTTTGTCTTCAACTCTTTTTATCCTTCAAACTTACGAAATCCATCCAATGATCATAGAACAGGCACTCAGTCAATTATTCTATTACATTTCATGTGAGCTCTTTAACAAAATCCTCTCTCGCAAAAAATACTTGTGTCGATCAAAAGCGATGCAAATTCGTCTTAATGTTTCCGCTCTCGAAGATTGGGTTCGCACAAACAATCTACCGCTATCGTTGATATCACATTTCCAACCTCTGATCCAGCTTTTACAGTTGTTGATGTGTTGGTCTCAAATGACCGATTTTGCAATTTTGGTGCAAACAACAAAAGAGCTCAACCTCATAAACCCAGCACAACTTAAGCGAGTCAGTAAAAATTACAGATATGAAGTTAATGAGCCAAGAATAACTGAAGAATGTCAGCAATATATTCTCCAACTGGAAGAAGATACGGAACGACGAAAGAAACGTTATTCCACTGAGAGTATAAGAAGTGATCGAAGTGATGCGTCAAGTATTATTTTCTTAACAGTGTCGCCCTCACTACCACCTTGTGCTGGACCAAATTGGGAAGATGACGACGATTTAATGGAGATGAAGGATAGTGAGTTATTATTACCATTCGCTATACCGACCAGTACAGAAATGTTGGCAAATTATGGTGGCAAGGAAAAAGGAACTGACTTCATACCCTTGGTTCCGGACGAATGGATGGAAAAATTAGATGTCGAAATGCGACATGGCGCAGGTGGTGTTGTTGAAGAACTTACGTCAAAATGGGAGGCCGAATTTGAGTATGAGGATGAAGATGAGGAAGGAGGAGAAGGAGAAACAGCACTGGAGATTAACTGAGTTTCTTGATACTGGTTTGGAATAACTTCGAATGTATTAAATTCTACTGTATACTTTTGGAAAGGTTAAATGTTGGCTAAATGATTTTATACTTGTAAAGAATTGGTTATTCCTCATACATTTGTTTTAAATAGAAAACCTTGGTTTATGGGAAGTTACAGGGATACTTTCGTTTTTTATGGTTGTTCGGTCTCTTAGTATACCGACAAAAATTGTGAAAAATAAGGGACTATATAAGAGACCTTGATAGGAATACATTTTATTATGGTTTATATAGATGGGCATTTCTTATTAAAGAATGTACCTGATTTGTCTTTTTCTGGATGTATTGTATGATGCGAGATTTTAAATCTTGTACATGTATTTCCTTTTTATTAAAATTCGAATTCACCACATCAGTTTGCTCTTTTATTTTATTTTATCCCGTTTTAAATTTTGCAATTTAAAAGTTATTCAACTTATTGTGATATCATAATGAATATTTCCTGGTTTCATTGAAAAGTCAATGTCTATTAAATCTAAACTAAATAATAACATTTTTAATATAATTATTAAAATTAAATATATTATTATTATTATTTTGCAATATCTGTACCTAGACCAGATTATAGTTTATCAATCAAATTAATATCTAAGTACAATTTATTCAAGTAGTATAGTATTAAATATTTTATTTAATAAAAATTCATTAAACTTGCAAAAAAAATTCATTATATTCATAAATTTATTTGATATTATTTATAGAATAATATATAATTAATTAAATTATAATAATATAAATTACAATATACAGTTGGAACAAACTTTTTACCTTCTTTTTTTTATTTTATTCTTACTTATAATTTAATAACTATTTAATAAAATTTAATAAATAAATACAGTATATATATATATAGTATATTTAAGAATATAAAGAATAAAATTACTTAAAGATTTTTTAAAATTAATTATTAAAATTTTGTTAGATTATATTTTTTAAAAAAATTTTTTTATTTCTACTGATTTCCAATTTTTTCAAAAAAAAATTTTTTTTTGATAATCTTTTTGGAAATCAAGAAATCAACATCTAATATCTAAAAACATATAGTTTAAAAATAACAACAACTTATTATTAAGTTTCAAAACATTATATTTCTTTGTAATAATAGTTACAGAATAAGTATCAAAAGAAAACTGTTATATATAGTTTTTCTTTATAGAAAAAAGAAAATTTCAAGAAAACTAATTTACAATAGGCTTTTAAAGATCCAGCCTCAACTTCATATAGCTTTTAGCTAGGTCGGTGTAGGTTAATACCTTTTTTGATACTAAGAGAAGTATTGTAGTCAATAACTTCAGTCAGTAAATTAGTTAAAGTTCAAAATCTATAATACTTAGGAAAATATTCAAGTCTCAATTACTTAATAGTAGAGAGTGATATAAATAATACAATAAAATTTTATATATAGAATCACATAACAAATATATCATATCTACCAATTCAAATATTAACTCATTTATGTATCTAATAAATAACTTGTTTAATATATTTATATTTTAAACTCATATATAATAGTAGTTGTCTATAATACAATGAATTTAAAAATAGTAATATAGTTTATAATTAACAGATCAATATCATATTTACATAAATAAGAACAAACAAACAGATATAAATAAACAAACTATCAATCACTTAACTTAGAAAACCTTAGTAATATCCAAAATAGCAAAATAACAAAATATACTAATATTGTATATAGCAACCTATTTTTTATATCACATAATCAATATATCTATAAAAAAATATAAACTTCTACAGGTCACTAAAAAAAAAAAAGTACATATCATTGAAACTTTAGTTCTATTAACAAATAAGTATAATCAACAAAAAAAACTATGAACCTTACAAATATTCTTGAATGTTATTACAACTCAAGAGACTAATATAAACTCAATCCTAGATTCAACTAAATATTTAATTATAGATAATATTATTACTAGGATTCTGAATATCTATTATACTACCTTTATCAAAATTAATTTTCTAAACAATATATTTTTTATCTATGATCTATAAAACAAGAAAAAAAAGAAGATCTTCTAGTTTTCTTCTTAGAAAACAAATATTTAAATATGATAGAATAGGTAGAACAAATACAATACACTTTATAACTATTGCCAACAAATCAACCAATAGTTAAAAGAGATTTTCCTACTAATAATTCATCTAATAAGATAATGATTATAGAAATTTAAGTAACTAAATCAATTGAAATTCTTATTGTTACTGAAGTTGAAATGGAAGACAAAACTAGAAAACAAAATTGAAATAGAAGTTATTGATGAAAAAATTAGAGAGGACAACATAATAGAATAACAAATATATAAGGCAAGAAATAAAAAAATATCTAGCATCAATTATTATTATATCAAGAAAAATAGGAATTTTAAAATAGGTATATTTACCTCAAGACTTTAAAAAAAAACTGAGATGAAACAAATAGCATATCTTCAAAATATATTAGACTTGTTAAAAGACTCTTACTCTTTTATAAAGAAATTTATTAATGGCAATATTTGAACAATATTTTGTTGTGAAGCGAAAAAAGATATATTGTAATATCTTAAAAAAATCAATAAAAAGAAAAAAAACAATTTTATCATTATATCTCTATAAATGAACAAATGATTAAGTGATTATCTTAATAAACATTAATCAAAATTACTTATACTAAGAAATTAAAGTAGTTCTTAATTAATATAAACAAGCAATGAACATTTATATTTACAATCACTTATGATCACAATATAAAATCAAGACATATACCATTCCTCATAAACAATATACTGACCTTGAGGAAAAATAAATAATCCACATCAGAACAGAGACTATTAGAACTATTTTTTTGTAAAATAAATCTAATAATAAAGAAATCAACAAAATTATTAAACAGTGTAATCTACAATCCTTGTAATAATATTAAATATATATTACTACTACTAGGCTAATTATAAGGGTAGTTAAATATACCAAGGTTAGAACATACTATATTTTTAAAAATCCATATATGCTCAAAAAAAGAAACTATATTATAATTTGCTTCCTAATAATATAAAATCTTATTAATGCCTTAAAATAATATATTTGCATTTATAGATACAAACTTATATAGAGTATAAGAGAAAACTTTAAATAAGAACAAAAGTTTTTTCAAGAAAAACAAAATTTTAATAAAGTTGAAGAATCTGATACTAAATTCACACAATTATATAAACAACAAACTGATGATATAAAAATAAACTAAACTGATATTTTTTTTTTTTTTATTAACGGGCTCATGCCTAACTTTATTGGATTTCAAATTACAAATTTACATTGCGCAAAGCAGGAATACATAGATGTATATTCAGGAAAGATAAAGATAATGATAAGCTAAAGTTATTCTAAAGCTACTTTGAGGCTTATTGCCCTTTCTTTTTCCAAAGAAAAATCAACATCCCTAGAGCATGCTGGTGTTATAAATAAAAATAAAGAAAATAAAAGAAAAATAGACAATCATGTGAAATGTATCGGTTTTGTTTCTTGATGCATACCTGTCTTGTTCAATTCCCCTTGTAAAAAGGTCTAGGAGAAGACTTCTACTAAGTCTTTTACAGAAATAAGGTGGAGGCCAAAGAGGAAACTGTACAGTTTTAAAGCTTATGGGGAGGGAGTAACTAAGAAGACCCAGGTGGTATATTGGTGTCCACATAATCAACTTGAAAGTCTTCCAGTATATCGTCAATTAAACCTATTCCTATCTAATATGGGTATACTTACCTATCTGTGCTTCTTATTTCAGATTTAATTCCTTATATGAAGGATAGCACCTAGCCTTGTGGTCAATATACCCTGCTAGTGGCCATTGGTACTAACGATCAATGAGGATCTTCCAGACATTCCGGCCGGCTCACACGTCACTGCTAACATTTTCAGACTCGAGTTTCAATTGGTGTAGTGGTATTAACCTTCCAGTCTTCCAGCTCAGGTTTTTTTGAAGATAGGACGAAAACTTCTTGGGTTACTTTACACATGAGCTTTACCACTGAGTATCCTAAGTGGTTTCCTACTTTCTCTAATTTAAACTTTCCGGGCAGTAGAAGTTGGAACCTACCTGACATACAATCAGGAATAGGCGGCTTTGATCTTTAAAAGGAAGCGATCTAGCATCTTGTGACTTTTACTATGGTCGGACGGACTCTTTCTTGTATCCAATGATATGTCGGTGTCATATCCTGTATTCACCTGTGCCAGACAAAATAACTTATAATGAATTCCAGGTTCTTATGGAGCCGAGAAAATGCATTCAGACACGTGAGGTGGCCAATAGGAGCTTGTTTGTCAATCTTGTTCAATGTGTTTCACATCGACCAATCAGAGTTGGTGAGATCCGTGCTACCCGAAATTTCAGGGTCAAGCTGGGGTAGGCAAAATTCCTCAGAAAGCTGAGAAAAAGGTAGCTCTGAGAGGCTACAACATCAGTCAAAGGGTAAAAAATAGAGTCCTTTGTCTGGTTTTAAATCTTTGTTATCTCCATCATAACTAAAAGGTAGAAGGTACTTCACTGTTGATCCTTTTCCCTTTAGAAACTTTCTTGCCATAGGTAGTAAAGGTGGGAGCTGAACTTTTCAAGCCACAAGAGTTCAGTTTGTTCAAAGGAGAT